TTTTGTCTTCAGCAAGCCCCCACTTATAATTTCATTATTGATTTATGTTCTTCAGGACAAGTTAGAGCAAAGTTATGCATTTTGACACTTGCTGAGCCTTTTAAATATTCTGTTGCATAGACTGTCTCCTTCTCTTTACTCACTGCACAGTTTTGCTATCTGCCAGTATTGTACACATCTTAACTCTTTAATTTTATTTGTAGTTTGGAGATTTAAAAGTGAGCATTTGGAATTATATTTGCTGTCTTCATCCACACCAGGTCACTGGACTGTTTAGAGGCTGCTTTCTGAATACAGATACACAAACCTCAAGCTTCACTGGCTTTGTGAGAAGGATCCCCTTTGGGTGCTCACAGCAGCCTTTCATTGAAATAGCTAATAAACCCAGCAAACCTAATTAGAGATGGCCAGAGAAAAGAGATGTTCTAGTAAAAGCACTTTAATAGCAATCTTCTTGAGCCACTTCTGCATGGCCAGTGAGGAAATCTGCAGCCTGACCAGAACCACCCGTTTCTTGGAGCACTTTTTTGTCCTATTTGTCTGTCAGCTTCATCAATCAAAGACTTTCTTTTTTAGCAAGAAAATTGGACACATAGATATCTTAGCAACTACTGGGAATTTTTGCAGAGGAGAGGAGAAACACCATCCTACTCTGCTTCTGTATTTCCCTGGATGCAGGTGGCTGATGGAGGGGTGGAGAACTGACAGCCTGACCTCAAATCAAGCCCCTGATTTCCACAGGATTAAGAATATATCTTCTCCCATTAACACCTCATTCATTAAGGGTTGTGTGCTTTAAGGACCAGTCTTCCATCATCTTTTGTACACAGTAAACACTGTCCCAACCATTGCTGGCAGAATTATAGAGAAATGTTCTTTTCCAAGGACATTTCCAGATTTTTTTGGCCAATGAGCAGAACAGTAGAAGTCCTGGACTTCAGTGAAGCTTGAGCCACTGAGAGGCAACAAGGGGGAGAAAGCTGTGCTAGGAATAAGATGTTTGGTTTAAAAGGTGAGAAGGACATGTTCATTAGGCTGGAGGGATGCAAAATGAAACAAAGGAAGATGAATTAGTTTGGATGTGATCTAGTGTTTAACGAGATCCAATGTAGTGATGTGGGTGAGTTTGGTGTACCTGGGCCAGGAACATCACAGCCAGTTCATAGGCAGGACTGGCAAAATATCTTCTGGACTGTTCAGCTGAACAGAATTCCCAACTCACTCTGCTGGATATATTATGTACTTGGATACATTACATATTTTATATCTTTATATTGATATATTGGTTTTAAAAAATATTTTATGCCTCCTGTCTAGAAAGAAAGTGATATTCCTGGCAGGAATAGTTGGAGCCAATCAGCTCTTTGGTTTACATATTGATGAGCCACTTACAGCTGTGAAACCATTTCCAGTGAGACTGAAAAAATGGGGCAGTCATTATGTCTTCAATGGATTGGCAGTGCTGAATGTGTGACAAGTGTGGGAGTCCTCTGTTTGTGTGTGGGAAAGCTGTTTTGGTTTGGTGATATTTTAAGGGGATATTTCTTGCCCTTCTGGTGCATGTGTGCTGGGGTTTCTCTGGGCTCACAAACATCTTCTGGAGGCCCTGGAGAGAAATAAGCTGCTGGAATCTGTTGTCCTCTCCTGCTGCTGTTTAGGAGGGTGGCTGTTGTGAGACATAAGGATTCATCCCTCCAGGATCTGTTGATGGGCAGAACTCAGCAGAGGAGTTTGGTGCTCCCTGCTCGCTGTCCCTGAGCCTGCCTGGGGCAGAGTGTGCAACACAACCTGGGGCTGCCTTGAGCCCAGGGCTGGGAATCTTCTGACAAAGCTGGTCCGTGTACAAAAATACTTAATGACTCAATCTCCTGACTTCTTTTCATCCCCACATGCTAAAATACTCCCACACCTTCACATATTTATATCAAACTCAGAGACTCCTAAAAGACAATAATGCTACTGAACCATAAATAATTGATTTGCAGACACTAGAACATCTTTCTAACAATAGGCACAGTATTGGTCTCCTTTTCCCCCTTGTTTCAGGACAAATTGCAGGGTTTATGCTTTGTGTAGTTTTGCTATTTATTATTACTTTGTGTAGTAAATATAAATGTTATTAAGAAGCATGAGAAATCACTGTGAGTCTTTTTGCTGCATCAGTCCAGCGTGGAACTGGGTGTTCCAGGTTTCTATTCCCTGCTCTGCTCTGCTCTGCTCTGCTCTGACAGTGCTCTGTGCTGCAGGATACAGAGATCCATCTTCTCTCCACAATTTTTTCGTTCAGATACAAATTGAGGCAACTCATTAGATCAGCAGAGAGCTGAACATAAGCTGAATTCTGAAAAAAAAAAAACCCAAAAAACTAATGAAGTGAAAAACAGAAAAGCTGTAATTCAGCCTTAATTGAAGATAGTTAAGAGCCATTTCTTCAAAAACCTGATTCATTGCAAGACTGGGGGATTTTTATCTGAAGTATAGAAATGAACCCTTAAAGAAGAAATGTGAACAATGGTAAGGAGAAGCAGTTCTACTTCTCAGCAGTGTGCCCTTTTCACTTACATGCTGTGAGAGACTTCAGGAAAAAACATATCATTTTCTGTTTGATAGAAGCACTACTAGGATTTCTTTTTTCTTTTTCTTTTTACTTTTTTTTTTTTCTTTTCTTGTTCTTCCAGTCTCTAAACTTTCAGTCCCACAAGGGAGGGTGTGTGTGGGAGTGCCACACACAGGGACAGGTGTGGAGGTATCCCTGCTCCATGTCCTGGCCCTTGCCTGGTGCCCCCTGCAAACACCTCTGCATTCCTTTTGGGGTTTTCCTTCCCACTGCAGTGCCAGGATCCAGAAAAGCTGCTCTCACACAGGAAGGGAGGGATTTCTTGTGCCCTCCTTTCCCTGTGTCACCAGCCCCAAAAAGATGGCAGCACTGAAATATTTGGGCTGCTCATGGGTCACCCAACCTCAGTCCAGATGAGCTGGAACTGCAGCTGTGAGTGCTCAGGGTGGCTTTGGGTGAAAAATCCTGCCACAAAATAAACAGCAGCATTGAAAAAGCAATCCAAGGATGCTTATTAAAATTTTAACAGCAGGGAACATGTTCCTGCTTCATGCAAAAGCAAAGTAAATGTGTGTTGCAGAAAGTGTGGTTTTATTTTGGTACTTCTTCATTGTGTTCTACTTTGTAACAGGCGTGATCTTTGATACTTTTTCCATTTCTACTCTTCTGATTTCTTTCAATAATATTATTACTGCTATAATTCCCAATGAAGAAGTTGGAAATTTAATGTGTTTTGAAGTGTGTGTGATTTAGTGTTCAGAGAAATTCTTTTATTAACTATTTTGGCTGATTTTTTTTTTCCCCAAAACCCTATAACCCTTGTGAAATGAAAAGAACTTCAAGCTTCCCATAATTATTATTTCAGTAAATCTGAGAAATATTTATCTTCTTCTGAATCAGAATGAAAGCAGATATTGAAAAGATTGAGTGTCTGGGATAGGGTTGGGCTGAGTTTGGATTTAATGTTGCAGTGGATGTTTCTGGCACAGCACTTGCCTTTACGGTGATACCTGCTGAATATTGATTTTCTCTAAAGACATCTCTGACTGAAGACAAGGGTCCAGCTTTAAGAAGTAAAATGTTACACGAGGGATTATCTTGCTCTCAATTCCACACCTTCTCTCCATGAATATTTTATTAACATGGACAATGAACTCTACAGAATTGTGCCTTCAAATTAAAATTTTCTTGTACCACAGCGTTCTGCTTTCAAATGAATCTATTTTGCTGAACCTTTTCCAGTGTGAATTAATTGACTTTATCTGAACATGAGCTCTAAAGCACAGGGACATCAAAGCTTTTCCCCATTTCTTCTTACCTACCTTGCTTTTGCTTTTGCCTGAGAGGTGGACTTAAATCACCCCAAGGAGTTGTGTTGGTGTTGATGCATTTTGGAACATATGGAATCAGTGTTTTCATTTGGACACTGTTTCATCTTTAATCTTGATGGCAGAAGATTGATAAAAGAAAGCTGACGTCAGAATCTCCTTGCATTTATTTCTGAACTAGAATGTGTAGTTCCTGTATTAATTTTCATTCTGCAATCCAGAATCTCAGTAGTAATTTTCACTTCTCATCTCTAGGGCTGAAAAAAAAAAAAAAAAAAAAAGAATGTTGAACACAGTAATAGTTTTAATTTTACTTAAACAGATCAGGCAGAAAGTCAGAGGAAAATCAGGTCACAGGCTCTGCTCTGTCATCAGGGGAAATAAATGGGAGACTTGGCAGAAAATGTGAGTCTGCATTTATTCCTGGGACAGAGCCAGCCACTCACAGTTGGATTGAAGTTGTTGAGCTTAGTTCTTGCAGCAGCTGGATTTCAGAAGGCCCCAACCTGGCTCCCAGGGGCTTCCAGTGGCAGAGCCCTGGTTTGGCAGCAGCTCCTCAGGAAAGGGCAGGATCCCTGCAGAGGCAGAGCAGACCCTTGGAGGGAGCTTCTCCCAACACTTGTGGCTTTTAAGGCTGCACTGTTTGGGATTCTGCCAAACCCACAGGAATGGAACAGGTCTTGAGGCCCTGAGGCAAAGTACAACACAGATGAGAGGTCTCCTGCTAGGAAAACGTGGCCTTGCTGGCCAAGGATTCCAGTTTCCAGGTGAAATTTCATCCTGTGTCCCACACAAGGTTTACATTGTATTGTCAGAGCTCAGATTTGAGATGATCTTGAGAAAGGTACATACCTTGTGCTGGTTCCAACATGTGATCATTTCTTATAAATTAATATGGGAATCAAAACTTTCACATTTACAGGTAAGTCCACAGTCACCAAGAATCTTTCTGACTTTTTGATATTAGCACCTGACCTCTTATACCAGACACTACAGGAAACCTTGTCCTTTGACTTGAACTGTTCATTTGGCAGCTGCTTGATGTGTTTTCTTCCTGAAAGCAATTCCAAAGGGAGCAAGGTCTGGCTCACTGCTCTCTCTATTCCTCTCCTCAGTGGAAAGATGTATGAGCTCCATGCAGGCGGGCACCCAGATGATCAAACTCCGAGGTGGCTCCAAGGGGCTGGTCCGCTTCTACTATTTGGATGACCACAGGTCCTGCATTCGCTGGAGACCCTCTCGGAAGAATGAGAAAGCCAAAAGTGAGTGTCAGCCACAGAACCTCCCCTCTGACCCCTGCTGGGACCTTGTCCTCTTGTAAACAAAGGAGAATGAAGAGGTGTTGTGTTGCAGCGTGGGGTTTAGATGGTGGATGCTGTTACTTATTTCCCAGTAAGCATCTCCTGTGGAAAAGCTGCTTGGATAAGCATTCAGGGAAAACAATCAAGTCCACGCACACCACGCTCACCATGGCTAGCTCAGCCAAGAGAGGCAGAAGGGCCTTTTGTATGATAAATTCCAGAGAAGGTTTACTCCACCACTCTGAAGGGAAATCAGGGACAAAATACACGCGCATGTGTTGTGCACAGATTTAAGAATGGGGTCAGTGGCCAAAGACCTGAGGGTACAGGCATTGTGCAAAGGGCAGGGCAAAGGGCAGCAACCTGTAGGGGGATGAGGGATGAATAATTGGGGTGGGCAGGGTCAACTGGCCAATGAGGGAAACAATCTACATTAGATTGGCAATAGTGCTGCAGAGCACCATGGGGGAAGTCCTCTCCTTTAGCCTCGGTGGGGAAAACTCTCCCTTCTTCCAAGGCAAGGCCCTGGGGATTTCCCTGAAGGTTCAAATGATTCCACAGTGTTGTACTTGACTTTAAAGGACAGTAAATGATTTAATGATGGGTAATCTATGAAGCTGAAGTTGCTGCAGGTTGTGCAGGTTGTAGGGGTATAGGGTGGTGTAACTGAGTCGGAAGCAGCCCCTGTGTGAGATGGGGCCTTGCAGCATGAGGTTTGGGCTCTCTCTCTCTGGGATTTCTCTGGGCATGCTCACAGCCATTTCTGAGCTGCACTTGTGTCCCTGCAGTTTCCATCGACTCCATCCAGGAGGTGTGTGAGGGGAAGCAGTCAGAGATCTTCCAGCGCTATGCCGACGGCAGCTTCGACCCCAACTGCTGCTTCAGCATCTACTACGGGGACCACATGGAATCCCTGGACCTGGTGTCCTCCAGCGCCGAGGAGGCACGGACCTGGATCACAGGGCTGAAGTACCTGATGGCAGGCATCAGTGACGAGGACAGCCTCTCCAAACGCCAAAGGACCAGAGACCAATATCCTTCCTGTGCTGCCTGGGAGCTTTCCCAGCACTGAGAGCTGTGCAGAAGCTCAGGATTCCTTACAGAATGTGCTTTGCTACAAGTAAGCACTAGGCTCAGAGCTTCAGAGCAGTTCCCACTGTACTCCCTGTTTCCAGAGACAGAGTTCCTGAAGAGGATTCTGGGCAAGATTTGGAGATGAGTGACTGCAGTGGACTGAAAAACACACGATAGATTCTTCAGTCTCACTCCCAGTGTAAAACCATGCATTTAATTTGGTGATCTAACACTGAGATTCACTCAGAAGCTTTTCTTCTTATCAAATAGCCACAGAGCACATGTGGCATGTTGAACACAAGTCTAGAAGCTGTTACTGAACTAACACAAGGAGATTTAGATATTAGCTTGACCTTTTATTCCCAGTCTCATTTGCAGTTTTTCCTAATGTGAAAAAAATCAGTCATGATGTTCAGTAATATCCTTCAATATTCTGTGCTGTTCCTTAACTCCTGTTCAATGTGGTTGAAGCAGACATTTGATGAGGCAGATAAAAATGGGGATGGCAGTCTGAGTATTAGTGAAGTGCTCCAGCTCATGCACAAACTGAATGTGAACCTACCCCGACAGAAAGTCAAACAAATGTTTAAGGTAAGATTTTTTTTCCTGAAAAACAAGGATTTAACATGAAATCTAGTAGGAGTGATAGCAAATATTTCAGCAGCTGGTTTGTTTCCACTCTACTGAGAGATACTACACAGTCCATTTGGTAAATTGGAAAGAGCTCCAGAAAATGCAAAGAAAAAGGCAACACACCAGGTACCTTCTGGTGTTACATAACATGAAAACACACAGCACCAAAACTGCTCTTTTGGTATACCTTTTTGATCAGAAACTCAGTCTTGTTTCCCCCTCCAATTATGTTCTCTCTAACAAATAAAGTATCCAATATCCTATGACAGCTGGTACTAATAAAATATCTAGCATGCAAACTTCTGTATCTGTCAGATTTTTGCACTGCTGAGAGCTGTTTGTTTGACATTGCATTCTGCTGACCTTGGCCCAATTTAGCCAGCAACAATGGAGATGTGTAGCTTTTGTTATCACAAAGTCCCTGCAGGGACCAGCAAGCCTTTATGTGAAATCCCTGATGATTTTTATTTTACTTGCAAAATTAGTATTCTTCCAGTTCTTATTAGTTTATGGCCATGGATTTAACAGATATCCTCTCAAATCCTGGATATAAAATTAATTTCAAGATGATTTGGGCTCCAATGATCTTCTGAAGATGTGAGTGAGTAATTCTGCCAGACACACACGTATTGTTGGAGGAGAACTTAGCTTCACTTGATTGCCATAGACAGAAGAAATCCTTCAGCAGGGTTCCCTGTGGAACAATTAAACCTTCAAGCTTGTTTTTGGCATGGATGTATCCATGGGAGAGGTTCAAAGCTGTGCAGAGGATTCCTGTGACAAGGCTGAGAGATCAGTCAGTTCTAGCAGCCACGTCACGCAGCTTCAACCTGCATTTAATTCCAGTGCTTCCCTCTCATGCAGGGGTTTGTTTGTTTAAAACTGGTGCAGGCAGTTGGGTTCCTGACTGTTTCATTGCTGTGTACTGCAGGAGGCTGACACAGATGACAACCAGGGCACGCTGGACTTTGAGGAGTTCTGTGCCTTCTACAAGATGATGTCAACACGGCGCGATCTGTACCTGCTGATGCTCACCTACAGCAACCACAAGGACTACCTGGACACAGATGACCTGAAACGCTTCTTGGAGACTGAACAGAAGGTAGGCCCAAGCCAGGAGCAGAATTCCAGCTGCATGCCTTCCTGCTTGACATTGGGAATGAATTCCCTTTTAAAAGGGGTGGGGACTTAGATGCTGTTCATGTGAAAAAGAGACAGATGTCTCTTGATTTTCATCTAGGACTGTTTCTTGAATCTTCTTGCTCTCACTACCTTTTTGCCCTGTAGGCTCTTTTGATGTGCCCCTAAATATAATCTCTAGTATTGCTTTCTTTTTTCATGAGCTCCCCTTGAAGAATCCCATCAGCATCTGTCTGTTCCCAATATTCAGTACCTTGGAGCAAATCTGGTGTTCCTGGCTCTGCATATGACCTAGTGCACAGCCCATGATGAAACTCTGAATTACTTTGTCACACTGTCTCAGTGTGTAAACTGGAAGATTATCTTTCAAAGAGCAGTTGAGAGGATGATTAATATATAGGAGAGTTTTTGAAACACATTGTAGTACCTAAGAAATTTTCTCTGAGTGATTTAAGTCCAGTGCTGCAGGAACAAGTCCTTTGACTTATCTTTGCCCTTTTCATCTCATGGTCTCCTCTGAAGCTTCATGCCTGTGAATCATAAATGTCCATGATTTTCAGTCATTGTCCATAAAAGGAATGAATAAAAAATCTACCTCTCTGGCAGTTACCTTTTTAGATAAGTGGGGTGTGTTTCCATTGCATTGGTCAATTGATCCTCCAGATGGTGAGGGGAAAATGAGCACTCACCACAGGACAGAAATCAACTCAGCTAATTACTGACGTGGCCAAATCCTGCCTGGGGGGCTTCTCTCTCTTGCCACCCTTTCTCGTATGACATGGACAGGGAAAACATCTTTAGTCCATTCCAGAAAAACCTGGTGTTCCACAGCTTTATCTTTCAAACCCAGTATGGTCGATGTTCAAATCTAGAGTTAGAGGTTTGTGTCTTCTTCTTTTACTTTTATTTATTAGGTTTTAAATTACCCCCAGAAAAAGCATTGATCTTGTAGCAGATGTGCTGGTGGTTTCATTTTTCCCCAAGCAAAGATTCTGTGTTGCCAAATTGATGGTCACTTTATTGCACTCTGATGACAAGGGCTGTGTTTTCATGTACAGCATCTAATGGAAAGGATTTGCTGGACCACTCAGGACAGGAATGTTAAATAATATCAGGACAATACAGGATACATCAACAGTTAATAGCAGGAGTATTAATTGTGTTAAAATTAAGTTACTAAAACACTGCATTATGTCAAAAATGCTACAACTCAACATTAATATCCCTGGTTTCATAAATGACAACATTTACAGACATATATTTCCCTTTGTACTTTTTTTTCAGTTGAGAATGCAGAACAACCTTGAAGTTAGCAGATTTCCTGAGAACGTTATGTCCTGTTTCTCTGTTTCCCTGTTACTAACAGATTTTTCTGTCTGCTGCATAAAGATGAGACATTTTCTTGTTTTATTTGAAAGTAAAAAACCCTTTGATAATGCAAACTAATCCTCTAATCCTACAAGAGAAGAAATCCCATTGGTTTGTGGCAAAGCTCGTTCTGTTTGGGTGCTCTAACAACAGATCTGACTTACAAAGCAGAACTCTGTCATCAGGCAGTTGCCAACAGCACAGAAACTTTTCACAGAGCAATCTCCCTTCTGATCTGACCTGACACTGATTGACAGGAGTGAGAATCCCACTGGGGAACTGGAAATCCTGAGTCCCACTATGGATAATCTGCCCAGTTGTCGGACTGGAGATGGAGAGAGCTCAGAGAAGCTGTGATTAATAGTTAACACTGCATTTTTGGTGCTTTTACAGATGACAAATGTGACTAAAGAACATTGCCTGGAAATCATCAGCAAGTTTGAGCCATGCCCGGAGAACAAGAAGGAGGGAGCCCTGGGAATTGATGGTGAGCTGGCTGGTGCAGCTTTTGTGGGGAAAAGGGAACTGTCTCAATGCTCGGGAGAATATTGCTGCTGCTTCCAGAATATATAGATGTAGAATTTTGTCATGTTGTATAGAGTATGTTTCCAGTCTTTTTGCCTTTTTTTAAAAATATCTACCATTTACTGAGGAGCCTAGAAAAAAATCAGATCTCTTTGGAGGAGTTTTGAAAGGTACATATCAGGATGAAGCAGCAGTCATTGAAAGTCATCTGGAACTGGAGGTGTCTCTATTTGCGCTTTTGGAAAATACAGTTGAATTTAGTTGCATCATTCCTGCAGGTATTTTTGGAAATCATTTAAATCTTAATCTAAGAGGAGTGATGTGATCCAGAGTAAATGTCTGAGTGGGATGATAGATGAAATTGGTCCTGCCTTCCTAACCTTTGCTGCTGAAGCCTTCTCTCTTCTATCAATGCTGTACCACCAGGCTGGTAGCTGTTATTTTGGGGGCTGACTGTAAGCCCTTTCCCCTAAATAGTAAATCTTCAGCCAGATCTTATTCACCCCAAGAAGGGAGTACATTCCTGAGGAATTAGGTTCTGTTCAAAAGTTCTTGGACGTTTAGAAAATCAGTCTTGTCCATTTCTGTGGGTGTGTTGTCATCCTGAAAAGTGACAGAACAGAAGTTGTTTGGTTTCCTGAAGGAAGAAGTGGGTAGTTTCTGGTACAGTGTGTAAGGTGGTTGCTTAGGATGGGTCAAGGTCTGTTCTACTTCCAGACTAAATTTTCAATTTATTTTAAAGCTTATGCTAATGCCAGTGAGGGAGCAGATGACATTCTTTTCATTTTCTGGTCTTTACAGACAGTTGCAGTCACATAAATAATGAATAAGCAAGTTCATTATCTTGCCTTCCTCATACCTAAAAAAAGTAAGAGTAGGCTTTTCAAACTACTGTAAGTTTCCATAGAGAAAAACAATAACAACAACTAAATCTATACAATTAGTTTGCCTCAGAATGGATGCTAAAACATTAGAGAATTTATGGGTTAGGATAAGAGAGAGTCCAGTATGGTGACATTCTGCTGGTGTCTGTTCCTGATCAGGTGGAAGCAGAAGGTGAGGTCCTTTGGAGACAACTGGAAAAAGCTTTGTGACCTTAACCGCTCCAGTAACTTGCTGCAAGTGCAACAGAACAGAACAGACCTAATCTAGACCTTAATTAATGCAGGACATTTCTGGTAACATCCAAACAGAGGTGACTGAGGGGCTGGCAGGGGCACACTGCTGGGCTGGTGCTGGCAAAGGAGGAAGAGCTGCTTAAAAAATCATAAATCTGTGCCTGTGTGTACATCATGTATGAACATGTGTGCGCACACACACACACACACACACACACAGGAGCTATTCCTCTCTTGTCTGTGTGGAGCTGAGACTTTAAATGTCTCCTGTCTCCCAGAAAACAAGCCCAGTGCTGCCCTGGGGACTGAAATGCAGCAGCCATGGAAGCTGAAGCTGCCTGTTCATTCCTCAGACTGGTGCAGCCCAGGCAGAGCATCCTGCCCACACTTGGCTGCACCTCAGTAGTAGTGAAATAACAGCACAGTGTCCTTTGTCCTTTCCAATTCATTCCCGTGCCTGTCCTCAGCTGTGCTGGCTTTTGTCATGGAGCACCTTGGAGTGGCCTGTGACTGTGGGCTCATTCACAGTCTCTAAAGAAACCTTTACCTTTGCTGATCAAAGTGACACAGTGCCAGGGCACCTTCCCTGAGTGTGACCACTGCAGTCCTGTGGGACACACTGCCGACAGCACCTTCCTTCTTTCCTCTTTCTTCCTTGTAGGATTGATAAAACCAATTGGTGTGAACTCATAACAACCACCATGCCATCATATTTCAACAAGAGCTTAAAGCAAACAATGGTTTTGTTTCAGCTGCCCTCCCAGTGCTGGGTGGAATTAATCTTGCAGCAGCTGATTGGTTTGCAGGAAGAACTGATTACCTGCCACCAGTGTTTGGCTGTGTGTTTGCTGACACACTCTGTGCTCTATCCATTTTCCACAGTGGCTGCTCTGCTGTGGTTCATCTTTTGTTTTCACCCTGACTCTATCACTGATTTGCTCATTGATCATGCTATGTGCTCCAAGAGACTTCAATATTCAGCTGGGCTGAGTTGAATTCCCTGGCACTGTGTCCAAGTGTATTGTTCAAAATGTTTTGGCTGCTATTTGTGTTTATCAGCTCTTTTCCTTTAATAAAACTTTCATCAAATACCAAATGTACAGCCTAGAAGGACCATCATAAAGGTGACATTTTCTCTTGTCACAGTCAAAATGTGTTAAGACCTTTGGAAGTTCAGCAGGATTTTTACACGGGCACTGGTTTATTTATGGAATGAGTGAAATGTCAGGAGAATTAGAAGTCTTGAAGCAGAAACCTATTGACCAAAGGCATCATCGCTGTCAGCAAAGCCAGGGTGTGAATGGGAGTCTGTCTTTCCTTGGTGGTGAAAGAAAAACCTTTGGGGGATATTTGAAGTGGAAGTTACAGTGTTTCATGTCAGTCTGAATTGTGAAAGGGTCTGTGATATGTGCACAAATGTCTGCTGGAGGTCTGAGAGCAGCAATTTCACACAAAGATAAAATCATAACTTGCTAAAACTTTGCTTCTAAACAAGGCAGAAGCAAAGGTTTGTGGTGTCATATCCAAATTAGAGAATGTAGCTTGTACAAGCCAATATGTACTGTCATTATTCTGGGTTTTTTGGGGAAAATACTGAAAGAGGAGAGGAGAGTATCTCCTGTTAGGCCATCAAAAACTGTCTCTATGCAGCCCAATACTGTAGATCTTACAAGATTTCACTGAGGAGCAACTCCAGGATATAACTGCAGATCTCTGGAGGCTTTTATCTGCCTTGTGACCCAACGTCCTAGCAGAATCTTTTGACACAAGTTATAAGCCTAAGAGGTTTGGACTAAATAGGTGTCTTTTTTACAGGAAAGGCAGAGCAGGAAAACATACAAAGCAATGAGAAAAGCAATAATTGCACTTGGTTATGGTGATGATTTGGGTGTGGTGGTGCTATTTCTTTATCTTAAATGTGCTGGTGAATGTAGGGATGCATTTTAGGCTGATTTTAGGAAGGTTACAGCAACAAAAAGGATGAAACTATTATTTACAGTGTTGTTTGTTGACAGGTTTCACCAATTACATGCGGAGCCCATCGGGGGACATATTTAACCCAGAACATTACCAAGTGAACCAGGACATGAGCTACCCTCTGAGTCACTATTTCATTACCTCTTCACACAACACCTACCTCATGGGAGATCAGCTGATGTCCCAGTCCAGGGTGGACATGTATGCATGGGTGCTACAGTCTGGCTGTCGCTGCGTGGAAGGTAAAGAGCAAAAAGGAGCTGTCCGTGGGCTCTGTAGTCTTGTTTCTCCTCTCTGAAGAAGGATCTGTGACTTCTGCAGAAGGCACGGTAACTGGGGAGAGGAAAAAGCCTAGGAAAATGTGTTTTTCTTTCATAAAGAACAACAAAATAATGTCGTGATAGAATGGACATTTTTTCTTGAGCATGGAAATAAGACATTCGAGGAGTGGTGTTGCTGGTAGTGAGGAAAAAAAACTGTAAAACTCCTGTTGTAGAGAGGATGCTGATGTTGGGCAGAATGCGCTGGTGCTTCTCCTGCCTAGCCAAGTGAGTGACAACCAGACTGGCAAATATTGCAGAGTTCTTGCCAGACTTAAGAGGAAAGTGGTTATTTCTGCTCAGGGAAGTATTCTGTGAAATGATGACAGTCTCTGCAGTGACCAGGAGATGTTTTTGTGCAATCCCTTCTTGTGCTGCTTTCTGAGACATTGCCTCTTTCATAATCATCTTTAATGTTCTGACCATCAAAGTGTTTTCACAGTTTTTCAGAAGGCAAATATGGTTTGCTCAGGTTGGATTGTGGATGTGCCATTGGGTGCTTTAGAGGAGTAAAACATTCCATAAAAATATGATAACAGACAAGTATAAATAAAGTCAGTAAAAAGACAAGGTGAGCTGGGGATGAGCAGGTCTTGGCTTGGCCTGTGGTGTGAGCAGCTTGGCTGAGAGTCTCTGCTTTCCTTTTCAGGTTCAGCAGGAGCACAGTAAAAGCAATGCTCTGCTCTGTCACCTCTCTCTCTTTCATAAAGTCCTCAGCACTTTTTAAAAGAGTTTCTTTGCTTGGGGCTTTCTCAAGCACTGGGAACAGTCAGCTGGTCCCAGCACGAGGTCAAGTTCTGGAAGTTCCTTCCCAGGAAAGATGTTCAGCACAGAGAGGAGGGAGATGCAGGGTGGGAATGAACCTGTGCCCTGCTTCGGGGACATGGCTGGCTGGGCTGCTGAAGGGAATTTCAGTGTTTTATTGTCCCCCACAGGGAGTGGCCCAGGTGTTCCTGCTCTGATGGGTGTCACTGTTTCTGTCCTACAGTTGACTGCTGGGACGGGCCGGACGGGGAACCAATTGTCCACCATGGATACACCTTGACTTCCAAAATCCTCTTCAAAGATGTGATTGAAACTATCAACAAATATGCCTTTATCAAGAATGAGTATGTATCTAGCCTGCCAACCTTTGAGTCTCAGGGCTATGAATGGCAGTGCTCCCTGGCATCCTTGTGCATCCCTGACCCGTTCCAGAATTCCAGACAGAATTTGGAGTTGTTTTCTGGGGAGAAATCCTTCAGATCCTTCAGAAAGGAGCACCAAGGCAAAGCTGAGTAGGGACATTCTGCACAGAGGTGTGGAGTTGGCTTTATTGAGCTTGTACAACACCTGAGGAGCAATAGGTAATGTCAGTGAATGTTTTTAGTGAAGGGCTGACAGTTGAACCACTTTGTCTCTCTGGATGTGCACTCTGGTGCTGCCAAGGTTACACCTGGGTGCTCCAGGGATAGGAAACAAGTCAGAGAATAAAGAATTCAAAGAGGCAGTGACCTGATTGGGGACAAAGCAGAGTGTTCATCAGAAAGAGGTTATTTTCCCTCCAGGTACATTGCTCAGAAAATCAGTACTATTCATGGGAAGTTTCATATACCTTGGCAGTTACTGTTGTCCTCCTCCACACAAAATGTGTGTGCCAACCTTTGGGATTTTTTTTTTTTAATAGAAATTACTTTATTGCTGTAAAAATTTTCCAGTAGCTCCCCCAAAGCAGCCCATCTGCCTTTACAAACAGAGCTAAACTTGCACTAAATTTTCAGACCAGGTAAACTTCTTGTGAGCCTGAGATTTTTTGCAGTTTGCCTGAAGTCATGGTAAACAAATCAAAGGCAGTGCTTCTGATGCAAAAAGGCTAACTGGGACCACATCATCAACTGGGAAAGTTTGGTCCTGGTGTGGCTCAAATCCTTATTTTTCCTGATCAGGAGCTAGTGAAGGCCAGATGTCAGGATAAAAATAATTGATTTTTAATTAGTGAATCCCCGATAGTTCGATCCTGCAAAACTCCTTTACAGACTGGCTGTTTTGCTGATCTTGAAAAAGCATAATCTCTAAAGAGAAATCCATCTTCAGTGTGGTTTTACATGGCACTGACCACACTGGAGTAGATGTTCCACAAGTCTTATCTTCAACCAGGCATGGTTGTTCCTTGGCATTGGCCTGGATAATCAACAGTAAATGAGAAGAGTAAAACTAAAACTAGAAACAACACTTGCTGTCTTTGTAGAAGAGGCTTTGTCGGCAGGTTTATCTGTATGACAGTGCTCTGTTGTTAGTGGGAAAAGCCTTCGTGCTGTAAAAGCCAAATTTGCAGCTGATGCTTTCTGGTCTCTGCAGGTACCCTGTGATCCTGTCAATTGAGAACCACTGCAGCATTGTGCAGCAGAAGAAGATGGCTCAGTATCTTACAGAAATTCTGGGAGACAAACTGGATCTGTCTTCTGTGCACAACGATGACTCCACAAAGCTCCCTTCACCAGCAAGTCTTAAAGGGAAGATCCTGGTTAAGGTAAACTCCTGCTTCATGTGTGCTTTCCTTCCTCTTGTTTGTGATGATGAGGATTTCTGCCTGGTTATCACTGTACCCTAACCAAAATCATTTCACAAAAAGCAGACCTTAGGAAACTGCTACCTAAGGTTCAGAACAAATATCTTCTCAGTCAGTAAGAGCCTGGAAAGAACATGCTTTGAATAAATTTGATTTTTTTTTTTTTTTTTTTAGAATATGTTATAGCAAGAGCTCCCCTGCCTCTGTAATAAATTTTTCTTCTAGGGCAAGAAACTTCCAGCCAACATCAGTGATGATGCAGAGGAAGGAGAAGTTTCTGATGAGGACAGTGCTGATGAGATTGATGATGACTGTAAACTAATGAATGGAGATGTAAGTGAAGTGAATGTAAATGTCTGTCAAGGCTTCCCATCCCAGCGAGAGGAAACCTTGTAGGAGTTGTCTGGATTGTGGGTGTGGTCTGATCTCTGGGGTCCATCACAAGGGGTTCAGGTTCTAAACCTTCATGGGGGCAGATTGACGAAAGTGCACAGGAAGCAGCACCTGTTCTAGGGGTTATGTTTCAAGTTTAGAATATTAAAGAATAATATTCTTCAGTGCATCACAGTGTGCTTCCCCTAAAATACAAACAAAAAAAAAATTATATTTACATCAAATTGTGGTCATTTTTACAGAGCATCCCTTTGCTTAGCTGAATGCTGGGCTTGGTTGATTTTTACTGTAAGAAAAATCTCTGCTGGCTTCAATCTGAAAATCCCTTATTTCTTCATCCTTTTTAAAAAGTTATATTTTTTGTCATTTTAATCTTCTGGCAAGTTCCACTGCACCTTGCAGAAACAAAACAAAACACAGCAAAACCATTTAATGACATAAACCAAATTGCCTTGGAGAGAGTTTGCATTCTTAGTCCTCTCTCCCTCAGGCTATTTCCTCATTTTGTATTATCAATCTGATCCTTTTCATCTAAAAGAGAAACTTCTTTGTGAATAAGACTATCAAAGGAGAAAAATAACTTCTTTGCTTTTTGGAAGTTATTACAAGTTAGGATATCACTTTTGAATATTTTACAGCATCATCTTTGTTATTAACAGTTCACTTTGCTGAGATTTACTGATGCTTTAAATCTGAGATTTGCTACACCATATTTGCATTCCAAAATGAAATTTTGAAGAGTTCAGAAAATCAGAGCTTGTTTCAGGACAAATATAACTGGAAATTCTTGAGGCCTACTGAGAGAACACCATTTGTCACCCCTTAAAAGACCTGAGTGAAAAAGAAAACTCTTGATTTTTATTTTTAGTTTTATTTCCTCACTTCCCCACATTGGCCATGGTTACACAGAGCAGGGAACAGGAGTTCTCTTGCATTTTGCCTTTAATCTGCTGAAAAGAGGATTCTAAAGCATCTCCTATCCATTCCACCCAATAGATCTTGCACCTATTGCAGCTGCAGATTCAGCCTGGACATGGTATGGGACTCACATGATGCTTTTTTCATCACTGCCTTATTTAATGATTTAATGTTTTGTTTGCAGGCATCTGCTAACAGGAAAAGAGTGGAGAATATAGCAAAGAAAAAACTTGACTCACTGATAAAAGAATCCAAAATCCGTGACTGTGAAGATCCAAACAATTTTACAGTTTCCACTCTACCATCCTCAGGAAAGGCTGGGCTGAAGTCTGATAGTAAGAAGGTGAATTTGTGTTTTATTGTACTTGTGTTTCAATAGTTTACTAAATATATCTTATATTATAGACTTCAGCTTCGTGGCTGAATTCATGCAGTTAATGATGACGCCAGGTGAACATCCCTGTCAGATACACAAACTATTTATCTTGCTTACACAGCAATTGGAGCATGAAATGACTTTTCAACAGAAAGAATTTGATTTTCCATTATAAAAACTGCTTATGAATGTTGGGCTCTTTTTGTTCCTCAGTTCTTCATGTTCTATGCATTTTCAGTAAATTTTAATTTTATATTAACTCTAATCTATAAAAATGTACTCAGCCCACAGACTGCACTTCACAAAGTTGAGGCATTGTTATTTTAGACTGTGTAATAAGCCACAAAAAGCTTGGGAAGATTGTTCCACGCAAATGAAAAACAGTGGAGATCTGCCAACAATAAGCAGGTATAATAAGTAGGGATTAAAACTAAACTAGGGATGAGAACTAAAAATCAGCTTCCCAAAACACCTTGTGGGGTGAGTTTTGTATGTATTTTAAACCCAATGCTTTACACGATGTATCAGAGTTCTTGTGAGAGCCACTACAAGACCAAGGCTTGACAAACCCTTTAGTAGAGGTGTCACCCAGAGTAGTCAGTGCTAAAATCCCCTCTGTTTGTGCTGATATCCAGAGACTGTCTGAGCGCTCTGTCTGAGCTCCTGTGTTCTTTCTTTGGTTGCTTCAGAGTAAACTTGAGGATGATGCAGAATCTGGGGAAGATTTCAGTGCCAGCAAAAGGCAGAGCAGGTCACTCATGGGCAGCTTCTCCAAACGCAAGGTGAGCCCTTGGCAAGGTGAGGTCTGCACCAGATCCTGGATTCTTGGAGGGATTTTTATTTTTGCAGCAGTGGAGAGGAATTTCATAACTGCAACATCTGCAGCACCTCACTCTGAGGCTGTTCACTGAACAGACAGGCTGGAGAGCTGCTTATCATTGTGCATAACAACACAGATTCAATCTACATGAAGGTCTGAAGGCATTCAAGATCTGAGAACCACAAAAATTAATTTACACCTTTTATCTGAGGATTTGTGCTTCCTTTGTAACAAGGCTCAGACCTTGGGCTGAGTTTTCCCCATGTGCAAATTTTGCTGCAGAGCTGAGTGTTACGAAAGCTGTCATTTTCCATTTTCTCTAAGTAATACACTCATTGGCATAACAAAGCAGAATGGTAGCCAGCTGCTCAAACTTTGATCACACAGTTATGATATTATGGTTTTATTTCCTTCTGGCACAGAAAAAAGGAAGCAAATTGAAAAAGGCATCAAGTCTGGAAGAGGGTGAAGACGATTGGGATTCTCAAGGGAATTTAGCCCGGAGCTCTGTACATTACAGCAGGTTTGTTAAATGATTGGACAGCTTTGTTGCTAAAATATGCCTGCATAAATGCCCCCACTAAATAGGTTTGCTTCTGGTCTAGATGTCAGATGTTTGTTGGTGGCTGCAGGCATGTGACAGGAATGTGGGGAGATGCAATGTCTGCCACAAAATCACCAGAATGATCTCTTGGTGCTCTTTGGATTAAGTAGCAAAGCACAGTGGACCTTTTATGCATTTTGAGCTCTTACTGTCTCATACATTTCTTTCCCCTGATTTATTTTTAAATATAAAAGATAACATTTGCTCTTTAATTGGTGGGAAGTTAATTTGCTTTGTTAATTTACCTTTCTAGGGTAAGCCGACAGAAGAAGACAATGAAGCTGTCCAGGGCCCTGTCTGACCTGGTGAAATACACAAAGTCAGTTGGCATCCATGATGTTGAAGCTGAAAGTAAGTTGAACTAAAATGTTGGTGAAAATAATTGCTACAAAAAGAAATTGAAAGGTTTATGTTCTTGTCTTTTTATTAAAAGAAGACTTCTTAATGAAGATTCGGGTCATCATCATATTCACTTTCCCAACCATAACTCCTCCAATAAGCACAGTGTCTGCTGTAATTTAAGGAAAACAGAATTCCCTCTGAGTGGCACGCACTGAAATGATGCTTGATAGCTAAAAGGAACTAATGCTATGTACTTTTGAAAGCTTTATCTAGATAATAAATAAATGAATAAGGAGATTACCTCTAATCTCCTCTGCAGTCTCTTCCAGCTGGCAGGTTTCATCTTTCAGTGAAACCAAAGCCCACCAGATCCTACAGCAGAAGCCAGCCCAGTACCTACGTTTCAACCAGCACCAACTGTCCCGCATCTACCCCTCCTCCTACAGAGTGGACTCCAGCAACTACAACCCCCAGCCCTTCTGGAATGCTGGCTGCCAACTTGGTGAGCTGAAAGGAAACTTCTTTATTTTTTGTTCTGTTTTGGGTGGGTTGTTGTGGGAAATGGATTTGTAGACAATTTATCCATAGAATAGGATACACATTTTTAAGAGAGAAATTGAACCAGAAAGAAGTTTCAAATGATAGCCTTATAAATAAGACTAGATATTTTAGAGAAATAGAACTATGAAAGATGCATTGTAATAAGACTTACAAGGGGTAATTTTAGATGATTGGCTTTAAAACATTTACAACATAGTGTAACAAAAGCTGATAGGCCAAGAAACACTTATAATGTATTGTAATTAGGAAATAGGTGGCTTCTGATTGTGATGGCATGAATTATAACATCTGTATTGTCTCACCCTTCACATGAGACTAAAAATAGAATAAAAGTTTTTAGAACACCTCTCAGTTGCCCCATCTCTGGGTCAGAAAAGAGCTTAATTTGACAGGATGTTTGAAAAGGAACGCTGGAATCACCCCTTAGGACACCCAGAGTTCTCTGCTTATCCAGCTTTGCTGACCATTGAGTCCTCCTTGTCACTGTCCCTGGATTGATTGCCTTGAACATGTGTCTTACATGCAAGGAGTTGTCTGGTAAATGGAAATAAATGAACTTCTCAAATGCAAGAGGGCTTCAGAGTTCAGCTTTTCTGGAGAGCTTCTCTTCCTGAAGCTGTAATATAAGAGAATAATTTTCCACAAGATATCTGATTTTTTTTTTTTTTAAATCTTATTTATTTATTTTTGATAGTTGCACTAAACTACCAGTCAGAGGGGAGAATGCTGCAACTGAACCGGGCCAAATTCAGTGCCAATGGGAACTGTGGCTATGTCCTCAAACCCAACTGCATGTGTCAAGGTAAGGAAAACCAGCAAAACCAGTGGAACACTGATTGCAGCACACGATTGACTGTGAGGCCTTCTTACAGTTTGTGTAAAGATACATTTCTGATGCCAGAAGGTATCTGTAATTAAAGTCGTGTTGCACTTTCACATTATGGGACTTTTCATTCTTACAGGTGTCTTTAACCCAAATTCTGAAGACCCACTGCCTGGTCAATTGAAGAAACAGCTGGTTCTAAGAATTATCAGTGGTCAACAACTCCCCAAACCACGTGATTCCATGCTGGGAGACAGAGGAGAGGTATGGGACAGCTGTATTGCTATTTTGTGATGCAGAAGGTTTATTTCCACACTGGCTGGGCTAAGGATGAGGATTTCACATTCTGCAGTTACTTGTCAAGAGATACAGACCATGAATAAATAAGGTCATGAACATCCTATATCTTCAGGTGGTTTTCTTCACTTTTAAGCTGTGGTTTGATGGTTTTCCTCAATTGCCAACACAGTACTTCCAGGAGAAGTAAAAAATGGAGAGAGATCTTATCAATTTAATAATCCACTCCATAAGGCTCAGGACCAATAATTACCCAGACTTTCATGTACAGTGCCCATATTGTAAAAGCCATTTGCTTGTGTTTCATCTTCGTAACTCTTCCTTTTTAATATTTGTTGCTTTTTGTTTTTCAGATCATAGATCCATTTGTTGAAGTAGAAGTTATAGGCTTACCTGTTGATTGCTTCAAAGAACAAACCAGAGTAGTTGATGATAATGGTAAGATTATCTGGGATTTAGGTTTTTTATGGCTGAAACCTCCTCTTTCAGGCAGGTTTTTTTCATAAAAATAGGAGTAGATAAGATTTGGTGCCTATTATGACAAAGCACTGAAAATTGGATTACAGCATTTTAATGTTAATTAGACTTGGATTTTGACTTGTTTGACTGAGTTGGTATGAATATGCTGAAGGTCTTGATATGAAACAAAACATTTGTTTTCTTATTGTGTGTGGGAGAAGGATATTTTGAGCTTGCTGTGGTCAAAAGTCAGGTTGGCCAAACCCCTGCTGGAAACAGGGCCAAATTTAGGTAAGACCCAACTCTGTCCCTTACAAATCCTTGTGCAGCTCCTTGTGGGAATGCTAGATTTTCCAAGAACAACAATAATTCTGTCACAAAAAACCAGACTGACACCACAGCTTAGGCATTCCTAAGGCAGACTTCTTGTTTGTTGTGAATGAGACACCTAAAAGCTGATTCCCCCTTTTGGAAGGTTTTAACCCCATGTGGGAGGAGACCCTGGTGTTCACAGTGCACATGCCAGAGATCGCCCTGATCCGGTTCCTGGTGTGGGACCACGACCCCATCGGGAGGGATTTCATCGGGCAGAGGACAATTGCCTTCAGCAGCATGATGCCAGGTAAGAGAAAGGGGACCTCCCAAATTCTTGGGCTGGGATTTTTCCTGTGAAAAATGAAAATTAATGTATCTGTTGCAGAAATTTCTAGTTAGAACAAGAGTTTGGGCCCTGAGTTCTCTGCATTAGTCAGCTCCTGACTGATATGGTGATGAAGATTAGATCAATTGACTCCAGACTTTTGGGACTAGATTTTGAAAAAATGGCTAAGACTGTCAAGCAGAGTGGGTAAATACTGTGGGCTTGGCAGGCTTCTATACAGATTTTTTACTGCTTTAGCACTTTTTCCTCTCTTTCTTCACACCAGTTTTTGAAAAAACTCTAGGTTTTTGCTTGGTTTTATGACTATGAATAGTAGTTTAACACAGAACAGCAAGTTACCTATTCTAATGATGGGAATCAGACCATTAAATGCCATTTTCTGACAGTTTCCTCTTTCTGTTTTCAGTTTAGTCTTCTTTCACATTAAAAGTTCTTGTGTGTATATTTTTCTTTCCTTTCAAAATAAAGAAAAAAGTTTGTCTTAAAGATTAAAAAACATCCAGTCTCACTAAACTTACCTTGGATGAAAGTTTTGCAGTCTTAATAATGGATTGAAAATCCACAGGAGAGAATGTGGTCACGTTTAAATCAAGGCTTCACAGCAGCAATAACAGACCCTGGATGAAACAGGAGAGGGCTGTTTTATGAAATCATGACAAAAAACGGGGGTGAAGTTTGCAGGTGGTGTGGCTCAGGTACACCTGAGTGTGGCAAGGTGATGCTCAAGCCTGGATCCTCACTGTGAGGAGGAGCTGGGAGAAACCTGCTTGATCTCTTCTGCTGCTCACAAAAGGAGAGTCTCCAGCTGCTCCTCCTGTGACCTGTCCCAGCCCTGTGCCAGCTCTGCTCCCTCTGTTTCAGGTTACAGACACGTGTACCTGGAAGGCATAGAAGAGGCTTCCATCTTCGTGCATGTGGCTATAAATGACATCTGTGGTAAGGTGAGTGTCTCTGTGGTGTGCAACACCCTCACAGGATCTTGTATCACACCAGGAAAGCTCAGCGGGTGAAGGTCCAGGCTGACATTTTTGTTCACTTAGAGTAAAATTGATCTCTGTGCTTGTCATGGTAGCCTGAGATCTTTCTGAATATCCATGGAGATAAAGGCAAGCCATAGGGAAAGTTATAAAAGAGATTCTTGCAGTACCTTTTTGAGGAAGCCATAGGGGGAGGTTATTTCCTTGCAGCACACACATTTATACAAATAGTGTGATTGTGAGTGAAGCAAAGGTTACACACCTTAACCCTGAGCACTTGTTTCCTGCAAAGCTGATGCTTTAAAGTCTCTGCCTGATGTTTTAGCATTTTAAATTTAATGAAATTCTACAAGCTTATTTGCTTTGGATTTTTTACCATAATTACTCTTAAAATGCAGAGGAAAGGTGATACTAGTAATAGCTGGATATATTTACACTCCTTGTGTGTTATTAAGGGTGTGACTGCTTCACATGCAGGAAATAAGCAACTCTCAGTGTGCCACATCTCAATTTCCACAAAAGTAAAGCCTTAATTTCAGTCTTGTTCTAGGCCAGATAAAAAGGAGACAGCTCCTGTCCTCTCAGTGCAGTGATCTGTGCTGTCAATGCCAGTGAAATCAGGTACAAAGCACCCTGCAGGACCCCAGTTTGTCCTGCAGCAGTGAGATGCAATATCAGCGTTGCGACAGCAGGAGAGAAAACTTCTCAGCCTCCTTTGTTTTCTCATTTTTCTTCTTTAATTTCAAAATCAGAGTTACAAAAACCTACTCAGGTACAAGTAAAACGTCAGCAGTGTTCAGTGCTGCTGATGCCAATGAAATTTGGTCCAAAGCACCCTGCAGGACCCCAGTTTGTCCCGCAGCAGTGAGATGCAGTATCAGCATCGCGACAGCAGGAGGAGGCATCCAGCGGGCTGGGAATGCCCAGGTCCTCCTCCAGAGGGAAATTCGAGCAATGCTGAACAGGAAAACAGCTTTTTTTAGACTTTAATAATCACTTAGTTGCTTAACTCCAGTCGCTGCCCTTGTCAGCAGTGTTTAATGGAAGGGCCAAAGTTCATCCTATGGGAATGGTTGAAGTATTTTCAATTCAAACCTCCTTTGGCAAATTCTCTCTCTGTTTAACCTAAATTTCCCATCCTTTCATAATTATTTGCTCTTACTAACTTCTTCATGAGTGACTAGCTGGTGATAGTTTGCAGAAGGGCAACCTGTCCATTTAAACGTTGGCAGTTTTTTTGGGACATAGATTTTTCTTGTTGTTCCCTGATTGGTTCTCATTGTCACTGCAGTCCCTCTGGGTTTGCTGGTGTTAGGAAGTGATTCTGTGCACTGACAAAATATAAGGATTTGGAAGGAAAGTCTGTATGTGTTGTGGTTTTGTTTGGTTGTTGTGGTTTGGTTTTTTTTTTTTTAATAATTTTTGATAAAAACTACTGAAAATGTGGAACAAATATTACACGTCCCTATCTGGTTTGGTCTGTCTGAATCACTTCTTGCTTTGATTTTTGGTTAACAGACTGCTGTCCAAATTATAATTTTTTCTTTTCTCCTCTCTTAATTATGGGCAGAAAAACCAGGTATCAGCCTGGTTTTACCCATTCTTTATTAATTCAGAGATTCTAATGCAAACATTTACATGTTGTGACTTTTTATAAATGGAGATATTCCACCTGCTCAGTAGCTTGGTATTACTAAAACAGTCTTAGTTTTTTTTCACCTTAACTTATGCGTGAAATCTCTTCCTGATTGTTTCCTGGAAAGGCTTTTCTTTGTTTCTGTCTCTTCTGTGGTCTGCTGATGTACTGCAGGGTTTCTTGTGGTTTTTCTAGATGTGCCTATCTCTGAGCTCCTCCCTCACTGTTACTCTGCCTTTACTCTGTCTGTTTGTGATTTCAGTGGGCTTCTCTATGTCCAAACAGTCTCCTTTTAGAAGCAGAGCGTTTTTAGACGCCTTGAAGGTACCCCTCCTGTCCCAGGGAGGTGCAGACACCACCACACACCTGCATGCCTTGAGCTGGTAGCTTCATTAGCATCAACCTTTCCTTGTTAGCATTTTCGAGCTCTCCAACTCATGGGACATGAATTGTGACATTTGACTGGGTCACCCCTGTGGGGTCATTGACAGCCACAGAGCCCTCCCCTGTGAAGCAGATCCAGGATAAAAGTCCTGCCACTCTCCCTGTTCTCTGAGCCTCTCCCTCTCCTGCCTTTCCTCTTGAGGGCTATAATTCAAACCCCTTCTTTCACATGGAAAAGAACATTGACAGTGAATCATTTGCTAAATTGTGGGAAAGCCTCTTGTGCTGTTTTTCAAGTCTGCTTTCCAGAGTGAAACAGCCTTGTAAAAGCTGGGCTGGAAGCTGCAAGCACAGTGTCCTGGATCTCCCTCAAAACTGCTCTCTTGTATTTTTTTTTCCTTCTTTTAAAACTTTTTTTTCCCTCCCCAAGTTAATCAAATTTGCCTTTGTGTTCTTGAATCACTCCATTGATTCAAGCAACAGTGTCCAGCTTAACAAAGCTGCAGCAAACAAGCCAGAATGATACCTTGGGCCCTGCACTGCGTGTCACCCATTCCATCAGTGCTTCCCTTTTTTTTTTTTTTTGGTGGATATTATTTGTCTGTGTTGTTTGTATGACAATTTTTCTGGGTTTTGCAAATATTTATATTGTCTGATTTTTACAGCAATAAATTCATGTACTTGCCAACTTGTCTCCCAGTTATCCAAGCAGACTGTTCAATAGTCTGGCTCTCACAGAAGATTTTCCAATATTTAATATTTGCCTTGCAGGGGAAAAATCACACCCCACCATCTTTATCTCATTCTAAAGATAATTTTTGATAATGTCCTACTCACCCTGGAAATTGGCACTTGATAACTAAACTTCAGTCAATTATAATTAATTAAATATTATATAAAAAAATAATATGAACACTTTTATTGGCCCTTGTGTCAGCCAAATAAACCTTGGCCCCAGGTTTATTTGGCAGCTTGGGCAGGACACTGGGGGTAAAAGCTGCTCTTAGCCCGGGCTCAGTGCACAGGGCAGTCAGCATCTGCATTAAGCCCTGCACAGCAGGATTGGAAATGCATGAGCAGGACTCAAATATTTATTTGGGGGTGAAAGACCATTGTAATTTAAATGAGACACTTCTGTGCTGTTGTTTGGCACTGCAGAAATGTGACCTCATGTGACATCACAGGGCAAAACTGGAACTGGCAGCGAGGGCCAGCAAGCGTGGCTGCTGGTCAGGTTCTGTCATGGGCTTCTTAAAATGCACTTCAGTCATGATGTACCCTGGGTTTGTTCATTCTTGATGCTACAGCTGCTCAAAAGTCTGATCCAACTGGGAAATAAAGAGGGCAAAGGTGGAGAAGTAGTTAAAAGAGAAATACCTTTCTGTGCTTGAAGTGATCTCTGTGCACAGAGCAAACCAGCGCTGTCTTGAAAAGTTGGCAAGTACACCTGGAATGTTTGCAGGAATGCTGGAACTCTGTTTCATTGAAATGTAAATCAGTTGTATGGTGGTGGGAGATTTATGATGGTGAATTTATGTGTTTAATGCTTAAATAACTACTGAAGACTATGGAGAACTGTAATATGACACTGACTAACTTCCCTTGTTTATAGTGTGTTTCCTCAGTGCTGAACACATACACGAGTGTCTTGGGATAAGTGTTGTATGGTAGGAAAAATTACCAAAATGTAATCACACAGGTAGAAACTGAAATACTCAATGATCTTTTGTGTGTGTATAGTTAACTGCTATTCATGCCAGGGCTCAATTCAGTTCAAGTGTAGATCTCCTTTATATTGAAAAAATATTCTATTTTATGGTCAGTGTTTATTTCCCAGTGGTTCCTAGAAAATGCATTTACAGCAAGAACTTTAAATGCATCTGCTTTGGGTGAAACTGAGAAACTCTTCAGCTTTCAGAATTAAATCCTTGTAGACAGAAGTATTTACTTTTCTTTTTTTTTTTTTTTTTTTTTTTTTTGTCTTTTCAATAGCTCTAATGTTTATGTAGATGTTGTAAGTAGTTACATGGTAGAAAGAAAATGGTGACAAATACAGAGATAAGTGTGGCTGGAAAATGTTATCTAAAAACATAGCTGAGAAAAAAAAAAAAAGATGTGTTATTTTGCAAGGCTGCTGTTAGTGATTTTTTTCATGTTTAATGCCTGTCCTATTTCTGGGTTAGTTCTCATGCTGGTGGTAGGAATATAGCAGGAGACTATATGTGAATGATTTCCTGTGCCCAGAGGAAGAGCCTTGCATTTTTTATAAGGGACTTTTTTATATTTTTATTCTTTTCTCATTTCTTTTGCAGGCCAAACAAGCTCTAGGTCTAAAAGGGCTGTTTCTCAGAAATCCAAAGCAGGCCTCTCTGGACAGTCATGCTGCTGGGCAGCTCCATCGCAAACATTCCTTTAGCAGCCACATCCTGAGACGGACGGCCAGTGCACCCACCAAGAGCCAGAAGAAGAACAAGAAGGGCTTTCCTGAAATTGCTTTTGACACAAAGGACAGCAGCTCTGCAGGGGCTGGAGAAGGGCGGGAAGTGGAAGCTGCCTCCCAGCCTCGCTTTGTGCAAGAGCCAGAAAGTGCTTCCCCCTCCCCAGCTCCCCGGGACGGTGCCGCTGGGGAGGCACCTGGCAAGGGCTTGAAAGGTAAGGCCCAGGGCTCTCCCAAAGGGCCAGGGCAGAGCTGTGCCCACCCCGGGGCTCCCTTCAGCGAGCCCTTGCCCAGGGCACACAGGGGGAGGCTGCAGGAGCCCCTGGGCGAGAAGCAAAGCGTCTTCGCCCGCTGCGCCATCAACAGCTCGGGCAGGATCGGAGTGGCCACCAACTGCATGAAATGCATGATTGGCTCCAAAGAGAGCCCTGACCCAGAGGGGCCGTGGAGTGACCACCCTGGCAGGCCCATTGCCAGGGAGCCCCTGCAGCCCGGGCAGGGCAGCAGTGCAGAGGAGAGGGTAGAGCTCTGCACATGGGTGGTCAGAGGGCAGCCCAGGCCACGCTCGGATTCGCAGCCCTGCGGCAGCCCTGGTGGTACAGGGGATGTGGCCAGGAGCTCTCAGTGTTTTGTGAGCCCGGGGAAGACGAGTGCTGACTCTAAGTGTCACGGGATGAAGGCTCATTCCCGGCAGCGGTGGCAGTGCCAATCAGGTGGCAAGTATGGAAGCACTGTCAACTTGGTTGCAGCCAGCAGTGGCTCTATATCCTCCGACTCCAGCAGTCTAGAAAGCCTTGGAAGCCCAGAATTCCCCAAGCACTGGTCTGAACCTTCTCGAAGGCAAGTGGGCACCCTACAGAGGGAAATGAACGCCTTGTTCGTTCAAAAATTGGAGGAAATTCGAAGTAAATCCCCTATATTCTTTACTGGTAAGACCAGATTTTCTTCACCCTTCTCCACTGTAGATCACATCATTGTCTCAGCTTCTGCATAGCATCCTTACTTAGAAGCTCCTCTATGTTGTTTGGCTGTCAAGAGGTCTTTTTTTTTTAATTTTGGCAATGACAGAAAAAAAAAATTCTGCATAAATATTTTTATTTTCTTTTCTGTAGGCGTGTCTGGTTTAGCTTAGTCCTTGCCATGCCTAGTTAACCATCTGCAGTAGTGACACTGTCAGTAGTCCATAAATGTTGGGGTTGTTTGTTCAGGGTTTTTTGTTTCCTTGATTTTTTTTAATGAATGTGGTATGATGCTAAGTAAATTTTAAGATCCAAACCAGAGCATTAAGTGAGATTGAATATGGAAAACCCACATCAACAAACTATTTCCATTATCAGCCTTTGTGATCTGCTGAGGGATAACCACATCAGGAATGATGCCTAATGTGCTTTCTGATAACAATAAACCTGTGCCCTCCTCAAAGATCTTGCAAAATCACTACTGTCAGTCCAGGAATTACTGGATTTCTCTGCTCTGTTCAGGAGATGTATTTTATAAACACAGCAGCCCATTCTGGTCCTAAACGTGTGTGCAAACATTTCTCCTGTGCTGTGATGTTCGTGGCCTGAGGGCAGAGCTGCAGAGAGCAGCAGAGTGTGTGATCTGCTGCTCCCTGGCACCAGCCAGGCTGGGGCACTCCTGCCATTCCCCACTGCAACCCAAAATGTGCCCACTCAGAGGAAAGTTCCTAAAGCTGCAGCATTTTGTGGTTGTTTCAAGCAAGAGTGTGATCACTGGGACTGTGTGGCTGCACCTAGGCCATGAACTGTGGGTTTGTAAAGAGGGGAAATCAAAGCAGAAGCAACCAAAGGACATCTTTTAGTAAGAAAAATGACATTTTCCCTCCTGATTTGGCAGGAATGGACAGAAGGAAAGAGATTTTGATAAGAATTTTCTGCCTCACAGAATTGTAAGGAGAAAGTAGGAAGTACAGCTTTTGGCTGTGACTGCAAGAGCTCCTCTTCAAGTTCCTCACCCTCCCTGTTAATTGTCCAAGAAATCTGGACACTGATGATTATATTTTCAGGAACATTGAAGTGATTTTGGTGCTTCTCCTAAGATGTAATTCCTTTTTAAATAACATATTCTGACTTCCCACTATAATGGGCTTCTTTGAAAGCCTCAAACAGAACTTTGAGACATTTTATTTATTTGACCAATTTTATCTGGTTGGATGTCTGCAATTTACCTTCTATTTTTTTATACTTTTTTTTAAACATATTTTTCCAATATCTGCTTCAGCCTTTTAGTAAAATACAAGGACAATGGGAGGGGAGAAGTTTGCTGGTTCCCGTGACTTGCAGTTAATCCAAAGCAGCAGAACTCTTTCTATGCCTAAATTATTGGCATTGGGCTTTTCACAAACTCTGAGTACTGTGACATATGAAACCATTTCCCATTATCAGTGCCAGCTCCCCTGCCAGCCCCCCAAGTCACTAAACAAATATTGTGATATGCTTGAAATTTGATTAAATCCATCTGACTTCTCAAGCATGGAATCAGCAAACCCTTAAAATGGTGAAATGGTGCCTTGGACTGGCTGCTGCTGGTCCAGTGACAGGCCCTCTGTTTGCACAAACAGCTCCCTTTCCCATCCTCCTGCAAGGCCATGCCTTGGGCCAGGAAACCAGGGAAACCAGCTCCATGGCTGCACTTGGGAATTGGCATTCTGCTGGGGGAAGTGCCCCTGGGATAAGGCAGGAAACTATAGCTGACCCTTTATTATATATTAAATAAATACATTTAATAATTATTATTATTTATATAAATATATTTCATAATATAATATATATAATATAAATATATTCAATAATAATTATGAATATATATTTTATATATTTAATAATAATTTAGTAGTTTTTATTATTACTATTGCTGGCCCAACATTACGTTTTCCAGTGATTTCCCTCCCCAGCATGCCCCAGTCTGTGCTGGTGGATGGGCAGAAGGAGAGTTCATAAGTCTGATCAGCTCTGGGCCCTTCCTGACACTCCTCCAGGCACTTAGAGTCTGGAATGTTGGATCTGGGTTGTGGCACAGGTGCCTGATTCCCTTCCAGCACTCCCAGCTAATGCAGCACAGGCCATGGGAGAGCTGCTCCCACCCCTGAGTTCTGCACTGGGCTGGAAGTCCTGGTGCCCAGGGAAAGGCCTGGTATTGCCTGGGCAGGTTCTGGGAGTGATATTTTCCATTAGGAGAGGGCTTTGGAGCAGAGGAGTCTAGATTCCTCTGAGCAGCCTGGAGGGTGTCCTTGCCTCTGTCAGGGTACTTGAAACTTGATGATTTTTAGGGTCCTTTCCATCACAAACCACTCTGTGATTCCGTGATTCCATGATTCTGTGATCGCATTCCCCCGTCCAGTGGAGTGTGCTCCTTCAACACTAACAAATATTTTCATCCTTCTATGATAAAAAAAAATGTACCTAATATCTGTCCATGTGTGGATTCCATTGAGTGCTCTGGTTGGTCAGAAATTCTTAGGATCCTACAACCATGTGTGAATATTCCTGTATGTCTCCTTTCCACCCCCCAGCACCAATTTATCCTGTTATCTGCACCTGCCTTCCCTACATTAACTGGATTTTTCCTCTGTTCTGTCCTATTATTCTACATGCACACCCTCTCTCTCTCTAGTTAAGAACTGAAAGGACAAGCAAGTCAAAGGTAATGTCTGCTGAGTGTCCCTGATTGGAGCACCTTGTTGCCTGTAGTCCTGGTTTTTGCCTGTTTGCTGCCCTGTAATTACCTGCTCCTGTATCCTCGAGGTCGTGGTCTGGCTCGGTGGTGCTTTGTTAGTTCTGGAATGCATGTCTGCACTGTGCTTTGGAGATATGGGAAATAATCTTTTTGGCATGATTGCTTTGGCTCCCAGGGTACAGGTGATAAACATTGCAGAGAATGGAGCATTTTCTCCAGGTAATTGGTGGCTGTAGTAATTCTCCAGGGTTGCACTCACAGCCTGCTGTTCATGACCCATCTGTCTGCAGAGTTTTTTTGAAATAGAAATTACCAAGTTTTTTTTAGGAAGAACAAAGTCTGTTTAAAGCTTTGGTTTTGTTTCTAAAAGTCTCATTGCCAATATTCCACTGTCTGCAGATCATTTGTAATCTGCTCCACAAGTCCTGTGCTGCTTCTCTTCTGAGTGGTTGGTCATTGGGATCACATCTGCTGGTCAAACTGGTGTTTGATTATTGTACATGCTCTGGTTGTGCTCTGATACCCTGACCTGTCTGAGTGCTGGAAGGAAGGAAAACTGCACATCAGGTGGTGCTGGATGGTGGAGGAAGAAATGCTGGTTTACAAAAGGGGACACAAAGGGCAGAAATTGCTGGGTACTGTTGTTGTTTGATAAGAAAACCAGAACAGTCACATGGTGCTGCTGTGCATGGACTGAGATTTCTTGAAGCAACAGGGGTTTGTGCAGCTAAAACTGAATGTGCAAAATGTTTTGCTGCCTTTGGCCAGGCATTTGAAATCACAAGTTATTTTTTAAATAATTATTAACATGGGCAACTTGTACCTTGAGAACAAAATGGTAATACATAAGGAATGAATCTTAGCTAAGCTGTAATCTGTAAGAGATAACTAACCCTGTATCTCTGTTTTTCTTGTTTCTTTTTCTTTTCATGCCTCCCAAACAGACATCTGCCACTTCTCAATGCAGAGGTCAGTCACTTCTTTATGCAGCCTAGAAACGATCACAGAAGAGCCTGTCCTTGCCAGTGAGACCCATCACTGCAGCCTTCTCTTCCCCCTGCCCATTAGCCCTTACAGTGATTCTGAGGAAGGATCTGGGTCTGACCATTCCACCGAAGCTCCATCAGAGGGAAGCAACACACCCAACCAGCCTCAAGAGCCCCTACCCTCCAGAGAACAAGGAGTAGTAAATCTGGCTGCAGAAGACCAAGGGCAGGACATCCAAAGAGCAGCTGACACAAGTTTAGTAGCCACAGAGGATGAGAGGACAAGCATGGCAGAAGGAAATGGCTGGACACAGTGCAGTGAGGCTGAAGATCAGGGTGGATCAGCAGCACATCCCCAAAAAGCCAGGCTGGTAGAGGCAGCAGATCATGGTGCTGGCCAACCTGTAGGAAACGACGAGAAGCAAAGCAATCAACCAGGTCAGGTATTATCAGACATGAAAAGCACCTCTGAATCCAAAGGACAGAACCTGGGTGCAGCAGCTGTTCCACCCCAACACAGCAGTGTCATTAACAGCCCAGTTAATGAATCTGATTCTCCCCAGAAATCCCGGGCTGCACAAGCTCTCCCTGTCTCTGTTTCTCACACGAGCTCTTACACCTTGGCAAGAAGGGCAAAGAGTGAAGGACTGAAGATGTCAGACTCCTCAGCCTTAATAAAAATTCCGAGCAGCCAGTCTCCAGCGGCTGAGGTGTACTTTGATGCCACTGTCAATGACCGGATCTGGAGCAAGCTGGACTGCAGCAGCCACCGTGACAGCATGTCCTCCTCGTCCAGCATGTCCTCCAACGACACCGTCATCGACCTCTCCCTCCCCAGCCTGGCTCGCAAAAGCCTCCCGGACCTGGGCATCCGCCAGGACAGCCTGGAGCCCCTGGCCATCAGGAAGGGCATGCGCCCACGCTCCGCCACCGCCTGCAGCACCGAGATGCCAATGGTCAGCAAGAGCAAGTCCAACCCCAACCTGAGGTCTGGCCAGCTGCCGGCTGATGAGCTGTGCCCCCGGCCCCTGGCCAGGAGCCCTCAGGACGCCTTCTCATCCATTCCTAGAAGGCACACCTGGAGCAGGCTCTACATGGAGAGTCTCAGGCAGTCCTCTCACAAATCCAAAGCGCATGACACGGTTGGGAATAACCAGACAAAGTCCAAAAGCCTCGGGGACCTTACCTCTGACGACATCGTGTGCACTTTTGAGAGCAAATACCGCAGCATCAGCAGGAGCTTCGTCACCCGCTCCATGCGGGAGCAGCGCCGCTCCTCGGGCCTGCGGCCCTCGGCCAAATCCCGGGACGAACTGACTGAGCAGCTGAAGAAGCTGACAGCCTTCCAGCAGGAAAACGATATCACCTCCCCCATCAGCCTGGAGCCCAGCGAGTCGGAGGAGGAGGGCGAGAGCGTGGGGCTGCTGCGCCGCTCGTCGTCGCGCAGCCAGAGCCGCGTGCGCTACATCGCCAACAGAGCGCGGCAGGCCCAGGAGAGGCAGCGCCTGCAGGGCCGGGCACAGCTCGGGGGCAGCCCCATCGAGGAGAGGGGCAACCCCGAGGGCGCCTGCAGCGTGGGCAGGCCTGGCTGCACCGACCCCGCTGCCCACGCCGCCCTGCCCTCCTCGCCCAAAGCGCAGCCCGACTGCGCGGCCGACACCGAGGTGTTCTTCATGCTCAAACTGTGACCCTGGCACTGCTGGGCACTGCTTGCACTCCTGTCACAGCAAAACACAGCGACCTGAGAGGCCCAGAACATCCTGCCACGGCTTGGTGCTTCCTGGCCTTCCCTTGAGCCCAGGGTGCTCGATAGCACGACTCCAAAGGAATAGATGAGGATTCATTTTTAATTGTGCTCTGCTCAGCCTCCGATTTGGCCTCCTTTGTGTGTGACCACTTCTTGCGTTTGTGGTTTGCTCTTGGTCTTTACTAATTTCAATAATTCTTCTGACAACAGTAACCTTGATGTTTAATAGCTAAATGTGATGCTAATGACAGCTAAGGTGAATTTTGCTTTTACAAATCATGGATCCATGTAAGGAGGCTGGACTTAAAATCACATTTTATTTTCTGGAAGAGTTTGAGGCCTCTGAGGGTGTGAATTAATAACGTAGTAGATACAGTCCATCTTTCATTGTGGACCTGTTTATTTCAGTGAAAATCCATATTTTCTCTTTGAAGAAGAGCTCTCTTGTTCCAAAGCAATGCTTTTATAAACCCAGCCTGTTTATATATCTATATATATATAAATATCTATATATATACACCTGTGTGTATGCAAAGATATGTCTGCACATGTATGTACACCTGCACACCCTGAACCTGAACTGTGACTGCTCCTTGTCTCAAGACATTGTCTGAGGAATTGAGACAGGAGAGAGAAGGGAATGCCTAAAAATAGACAGGAAATATCTTCTGACTTCAGAAATGGCTACGAAGCATGTTAGTCTTTTCTTGAAACAGCACTGTCCCTTCTTATGGTATTTTAACAATGCTGCTGTACATAGCACTTTTTGGATGAATTTTACTATTTCTGTATTGCACTGCCATGCAAAATTTTCAATGATATGTTAAAAAAAAGAGAGATATTTAATTTTTTTAGATGGACATATTTAGAATTAAATAACAACCTAAACAGAGTAATAATTTTTCCTCCCCCCCCCCTTTTTTTTACTTTTTATTTTTAGGGATGTTATCATGTGTGTCCCCCCCCCCCAGTCCCCAATTATGATGTCATTTATTATAGATGTACATTTTATCAGTGATGGAGAAGGATGTTTACTGAGATGCATTTTAAAGAGAAACAGAGATTTAATTTTATTTCAGGCTGCATAGAGTCCCTATTATTGAGAGGATATTTTGCCTTTGTAATGATTCTTTTGTGTATATTGCAAAATTTAAGAATTTGTTTGTAAAACCACCTTACACTACTAAAATAAACATATTTAACCTTCCAGCTGGTGACACTTTAGCTGTAGCACAGCACTGGGGTTTGTGATACACAAACATGGTTCATTCTATCTGCTTTGTTTTTCAGCTTCCTTTGTGGATAACATTTAATTTTACTCTTTTTCAGAGGAGTAGCCAGCACAGACCCAGCTCAGATTTTCTCAGGTCCTCCAGAACTTGTGCAAGGATTGGCAGAGACTGACATTCTGTGGTGTGAGACACAGCACAGGGGCTGGGGCAGAGCCCTGGCTGCGAGGATGAAAATTCTGGGGGAACTGGTGGAATTAGTAGCCAAATAGACAGAAGGAGCAGATCCATCCTGGAGCAGCTGTACAAGTAACACAGATGGCCCTGTCTCATCACTGAGGGCGTTTAAAGTCTGGCTGAAAATGCTGCAGCACAGTTTTGCTCTTCACCTGTCACTTGATTGAAAAATCACTTCTATTCCTGTCCCAGCAAAGTGCACAGTGAAAGTGCATTTTACTTCCTTGACACTCCTCCTGGAAGGGTTGTCACTTGTGGAGCTGGAAAGGGGCTCTTGGTTCTAATTTAAACTCTGAGATACCAAAACAGTAACGAAATTTAGACTCTGAGATATCAAAATGTAAAGCTGACAGTGTTATCACCATAACATGGAGATGGAGCTGGAGGGGTTAAATTGTCTGATCAAATCTTTTCAAATGCTCTTCAGCATGTTTGTCTGAAAATATTCCCTCAGTTTTCCAGGCTGGCTGAGATCTGCACAGCTTGTCTGCAGGACTCAGACCCTGCAGATGCCAGGGCAGCTTTGTGCAGCAGAGGTTTGGGATGTGCACTGAGGTGACCCCACAGCATCACTGCAGGCTCCGAAGGAAAGGAGGTGAAGCTGCAGCAGAACTGTCATCTGCCAAGAGGAGCCTCCCATTGTGTCCCAGCACAAAGCAAATTTCATTAACATTCTCTGGATGAAAAATCATTCATGTAATACTTTAATTTTGGGCTGAAAAGCTGCAGGGAGTCGCTGCTTTTGTAGCTTTAATGTCAAGTACATGCAACTTGACAGCTTTGGAAAGTTAATGTTTAAAAGGCCTATTTGTGTCTTCTCAAAGGCTTAGTCTCACAGTCCGATTATTTTCATCTTTAATTGATTAAGCATTAATACAATAAATTAATGCACCTCACAGGAGGCAGAATCATGGACCACTTTAAAACATTTAACTTCGTTCAGAATTTTAACTAACAATGTCTGGATTTAAGTCATTAGTGTACATGTGAAATTTGCCCTCTTGCTTCCAAATTAGTTGCAACCACTTTTACAGCTTGTTTTGTGACACTGTGGAAGACTGACTATTCATCATGTATTTATTTATTCCTATAAGTGAAATTTATTCCAGCATTTAAGAATTATTTGGCATTTAAGTCAGCAGAAGGTCACAGTTTTGGTATTCATTCTTCTGCTCTTCCTGAGACTCCTGGATGTGCATTTCAGTTCATTAAGCTGTAAGATCTGAAATCCAAAGTCTCCAGATCACAAGCAGTGTGTTGAACATGGCTGGACATGGAATTTATGGGCTCTGTTCCTCCAGCTTGGCCTTCGTGAGCACTGATAATGAACATTCAATTGTGTCTTTCAAAGCTGATTTTGTCTGTGTGATCAGCAGGCAGGAAAACGGGCACAGCTGCTGGGGACAGTTCCAAAGGGAGGAATTTTACAGCAACATCACAGGCCAGGAAGAGAATTCTGTGAGTGTTGATGCAGCATCCAGCTGCTGGACTGAGCTGCTTCCAAAGCCTTTGGTGTGGTCTCCTCCTTCCCCAAAGCCCCAGGGGTGCCCTGGTCCAGCTGGCACGTTTAGATGCCACTCCTCCTCCTCCTCCTCCTCCTCCTCCTCCTCCTCCTCCTCCTCCTCCTCCTCCTCTCCCGGGTATTTATCCCAGCACGGGATGCCCAAACCTGCGGGATCCTCGCTGCTCTGTGCCGGGCATCCCGAGCAGCTCCCGCACGGACCCACAGACAGACAGACAGACAGACAGACAGCCCAAGGGAGTCGCTGTAAGTGAGAAACCGCCTTCAATTCGTGCTCTGCTTCTGGCAAGGGGCAAAGCCTGCTGCCACCCGCTCCTTGCTGGCTTTTTAACCCAGATTTGCACCCTATTTGTGCTTTTAGGTAATCCCTAAGCAGCGTGTTTAACAACTTGCTGTTCAAGGTGATGCCAGCAATACCGGCTCTGATCAGTTTGGGTGTTTTTAGAGGAGACCTCCTGAAACAAAGATGATTTTGTTGCATGTGCCAAATTGTAAGAGAAAAGGAACAGGAATTTAGAGGCTAAACCTAGCAGGGAAAGCACAGCTCCTCCCTGGCTCAGCCTGAAGGCTGCTGCTTCTTTTCCTTTTTTCCCCCGTAGTTAATGCAGCTGCTCAGTTTTTGTGCTGCTCTGGCAACAGCAAAGAGCAGCAACTACTTTGTCTAAAAAGTAGTTGTAGGATAAAGTCAGTGTTTGTTGGTTTTGTCAGCTTTTACAGAGATGGGGCAACTGAGAGGCATTTTAAAAGTTTTTTATTCCATTATCAGTCGTAAAAACGCCATTCCATCAGAAGCCAAGCCATTTCTTGGTCACAATACAATCATCTTTCACAGTTCTAATTCTCTAAAATATCTGGTCTTTTTGCAAGGCTGTATTTTGAAACTTGTTGAAACTTATTTCTAGTTTGGTCTCTCTCTCAACAATGTCATCTCTATGCCATGGCCTTCCTGAGTGGGAACACCTCACCTCAGTGGTTGCATACAGATGTACAAGACTGTGTGAGCTTTCTGACAGGTTTTGAAAATTCCTCACAAATGCATTTCCCACAAGTGCTGGCTGATGTACAGCTCAGATTTCAGTGCTTTCACAAGGATCAACATTTTCCCATTTCGCAGAATTTTTTAACAGCAGCAACAACAAAATCAGCATTGAAATTTAACCTGGAAATAACCTTCTGTGGAGGTTTTAGTTATTTCTCTCATTAGGGAAAACGAGTGAGTGAAAGTACTGAGCTGTAATGCTGAGAGTTTTCATAGGATGCAGGATTGGGGAAATTTCCTAAAAGCTGATGAGGTAAGATCAGTAAATCCTGTGTTTTCTGAGCATCAGTCAGCAGTAATGCCACATGTAGTATATTTTTGCCTGCACACTCTCATAAATGGTAAGTTTTCTTGGGCATTTTAAATTTATTTTTATTGTTTCTGGTGTAATGGTGTCCTGTATCTTTTTGGACAACAAATACCATTAAAAATACTGCTGCTGCTTCCTCTCCTGTCCTTTCCCTAGGGGGAACCCACAGGGAGAGAGCCACCAGTGGGTAAAGCCCCTTTTTCAGGTTTGTCACATCCTTTTTGCTGCAGTGGGGACTTCACCAGAACCTTTCTTTAGTATTTGTTCTGGCTGAGCTCAGCAGTGACTATTTTCAGCTGGAGATCTTGTTTGGAGTTGTGGCTCTACAGAAAAAGGAGCAGAAAATCCAGGACAAACTGATCTCACCCAGTGCTGAGGAACTGTAGAACCAGGTTTAACTGCTTGCCTTTCACCTCCAGCAGGAAGGCTCCTGTAGAGCAGCAGGAATTTCTGCTCCGATGGATAAAGGTCTTCACTTCACAATCTGTGTGGTTACAGCCGTGCTGCTCCTGAGGGAATCGAGCCAGGCAGGTGAGGAAAAGGATCCAGAAGTGTTGGCTGCACCCAAACCTGGTTTTCTTCTCCTTCAGAGCATTAATTCCTTCAGTTTTTACCTGCCAGTCTTGCAGGATTTTGTCCTAATCTCAGAATTTGCTTTCAAGTGGGTTATTAAGAGATTCCCCAGGGCTCACCTCGTGGCTGGGACTTTGTGAGTGCTGCCACCAAGTGTCTTTCATGTCCCCAAGTGTGTTTGATGTCCCCAAGTGTCTTTGATGTCCTCAAGAGTCTTTGCTGCTACAGTTGAAAACCAGATGACAGAGATGGGGGAAGATGAAAAATGTCAAGAAAAAGGGTGGGTTTAGGTGTGGTTATTGTGGTTAAAGCTGCACTTCTGTGAGTTTTTGGTCCCTTGAGCTGCAGCAAGATGTGCTGAGGATGGGGGAGAAAACTGAGGTGAGGTAGTCAGTTCTGACCAGTGCCAGGAGCCTTTTCCCCAGGAGTCCAGCAGAAACCTCCCTTTGGAAGGCTGGGCAAGCTCAGGGTAGCAGGAGCAAAGAAAAAGCTGGTTTTTTCTTCCAGCCACAGTCTCTTCCTACAACTACCAACCTATGGGGAAGGGAGGGATGAGCCCTTCCCTTTGTCCCGTGCTGCTGCAGCCTCCCAGGAGGATTCCCAGGAGGAATCCCAGGATTCCCAGGAGGATTCCCAGCAGAAGCCTCGATGCTGGGCAGTGTCCCTGCCATGACCTGGGGTTGGTGCTGCAGCCCCATCAGCCCTGGGCCTTTCAGGAGGGCTCACAAAGGGGCTTTGAGCTGGGAGCTGGAACCCTCAGAAGGCTCTGCTGCCTTCCAAGGAACCCCACGGGGCCTCCAAAAGCTGCTGCTGGCTTTAAAGGGTTTCTAAAGGGAGACAAGAGAACTCCTTTGTGGAGATTTCCAGCCCCCATGGAGAACTGTAGTGGAGAGGGAAAAAACAGGTTTTGTTTTACAATAATGTGGAGTTCAGCACAAGGCCAGAAAATGCAACACCAAAGAAGGAAAAATAAATACATAATGAATGAATATGCTGTTATATTTAGAGAAAACCCCACAGCTTTTGCTTGAAAGAGTGCATTTTTTGGTTTATCTTGAGGGATTTTTGGCTTTTGAGCTGTGAATTCTCTGAGTCCAAGGAGCAATGCTAAGCAGATTCTAGAAAAATCATCCCGGGCAATTAATAAGCAATATATTGACAAAATTGTGGTTTTAATTCTGCATTTCAGATGCAGAACCTGCCAGCAGTAAGGGAAAGGAAGAGTAAGAATAAACAGTGGCTGGGAAGTGGGTGGTGAGGAGCTTTTGGCTTCTCCTCAGGGGAAGATGGGGCTTGG